CTTTCATCTCCTCTTCACATAACCTCCTCCAGGTCACCCTCTCACTGACGACCAACTCCCCACTTCCCTTTCGGGTTCCACTCGAGCGATGGCTTGTCTAGGGATGTCACTTGATGATTTGTTTCCTCAGAGTATGGCCAATCCATCTCCATTTCTTCCTGCTTGCACAATCGGTTCCTGCTGGGTTGGTTGGCTCATTGCCAGAGATTCCTGTTGCTGATCTTTTCTGGCCGGCCATGTGATCTTGAGTATTGAGCGAAGACAGTTGTTGATGAAGGTCTGTAGTTTGTTTGAGGTGCTCTTTATGACGCACAAAGTCTCTGATCCGTATAGTGAGTAGCACTGACTTCACATTGGGGTTGAAAATCCGGATCTCCTTTTTAATGCTGAGTAGAGCTGTTGACCTCCACACAGACTTTTTCTGGCATAAAACATCAGCGTATTCAACGATGAGATTTCGTCTGTTGGCAAGAGGAACAAACGATTTGAAATGGGGAGTATTGTTTCCGGAAAAAGTCCACTTCTTGCATTCTCTACGAGTCAACTGAGCCAATCCCTGAGACTGTTATATTATTTTCTGCTTTGCGAGTGAACTCATCAAATGAATTAGCTATCAGATGAGTAGACGATGATGCATGTGGATATGATCAACGTAGAATTTATAAAATTACATGTAGTATACACACATCAAAATATGTACCAATAACATTGTTAGAGAAAAAGGAGTAGGGATTTTGTAGAAAATCTTATACTCGAAAACTAGTAAATAGCTAATGTTTTTTTGCTGTTGTTATGATTATTCCAAAAATATATTTTGTGTTAGTCAATCTCTTGTACATAGGGGTATTTAATAAAGCTAATTGTGTCATATATATATGTATGTCGTCTACATAGATGAGAACGATTAGTATTTCTGTTTTTTAAGTATTTATTATTTTTTTTCATGAATGTTGCCGGTTGGAGAATAATTATGACGCAAGAGGCATATCAGTATGCCAGTTAACTTAGAGAAAAAAAATTACTCGATAATCTCGACTAAAAAATATTCGAATCTATTAGTCCAACATGTAATTATCAGTTGCATATAACGAAAGTAAATAAGACATATTTCACTGATGCCAAAATAAAGATATAAGTCTAGTTTAATCATAATATGATGTTTTAAGTCCTCTGTTTCATAACTAAAAATTACTATATACATATATATATATATATATATATAATTTTTCCATCACTTTCCCAGTGGAACATAGGGCCCCAAGCTAGTGGCTTGGGGTTTCTGTAGCAGTGTTCATTTTTAATTTTACAGGATGGGGTTGCTAGCCTCATGCCTAACCTTTCCTCTTTACCAGCATTATTTCTGGCTCAGTGAAGTAAAGGAGTGCGCCGGCCGGGGATCAAACCCCGGACTATGTGCATGGTCGGCGAGCGTCCTAACCGCTATACCACCGACGCATATATATATATATATTCAAGTATTGGTTTGCAGGGATTTTCGATCCGTGGAAGGATTTTATCATGAGCTGACATCAGTTAGGGAACTATTGGAAAACCAGCTGGGAATATTAGACAGCTGTATCGTCCTAGTCTGAGGTCCTTCACTAGAATGCATCCACCAGAGGCCGAATCCAGGACCTTCTGGTTCCAAGATGAGCTGGTAGAGCATTAAGCCACTAGGATGCAATCCAATGGCCAGCATATGAATTCTAAATTCTGCCAATATATAGACATATATAATATATATATGTTAATGTATGTAAATAAATTTTCTCGACAGACGAAAAGCGACAAGTATGGAGGAAACGATGGTAACGATGACGGGACTCTAAGTGAACATAGAGAAAACCAAGATGGCGAAGATACCCAACTGTCGACAACAGCAAGCACCAGCCACCATTTAATCGAGCTTACTTTTTTCACTTACCTCGCTACAACTGCATACATCACGTATGAGAATATCAAAGCGAGTTGACATCTAAAAACCAACCTGGAAATTAGTGTGTCAGTTGTCAGTATACAGCATAAGGGACAACGTCTAGGATTTCAACACAAATGTCACTTTGGTGATTCTGTACTGTCTAGAGACTATTCCAGACTTTCGTAAACAGCTAAATTCACTGGCTCAATACTGAAGATATCAGATGGCCAACCAAAATGGACAAGCAATAAGGAACTATGTTAGAAAATGAACCAGTCGAAAGCCCACTACCCAAAACATATGTTGAATAAAACGGAGATAGAATGGACATGAGCCTAGAGAACCACTGACGGACATCAAACATAAGATAGGTTGCTTACAGGATTTCGAATGTGTCCAGTGGTGACACGGAAGAGATTGTGTCAGAACAAGATGAGAACTTACGGGCAATCATCAAGCCAGCTAAATATGAATTCCATTAAGTTCAGGTAATGGTTTGTAGAGATTCGATTGATTGGTTACAGGATTTCATCATGAGCTGGCATCGGTTAGAGAACCATTGGAAAAAAGCCAGCTGGGAGTACTGGACAGCCGTTTCTGCCCACCATTTCTAGACTCTTCGTCAGTACGCACACACCCACCGGAGTGCGAATCCATGACCCTCTGTTTACAAGGCGAGCTCGTAGACCATTGAGCAACTGGGACCTGACTGAATGGCCAGCCAGTGAATTTCAATTTCTGCCGATTCACGACAGAGCGCGACCACTGGCTAATGTCATCCGAGGCGAGTATTTGTCGTCACACTCGACCTGCTGCATCCTACTGGTGACGGCTTCCCACCGAAATTCGAGGTAAGCAACTACCTGAAGAGGACCAGTCGCTAGTGAGCAGAAAATGTTATTTCTATCTCAGTGTTTTACAGTAATATTTACTAAAGATATTACTGTGTATCACAGTGAGATTTTATCGAAATAGGATTTACTCCATAATCGAATTATACACTACCACAGTGCCCAAGTTCTATTCTTATGGCTAAAGGGGAACTCAGAGAAGAGATTAAAATGCAGATATGCTCTTGCAACCCTATGCCCCACGGGGAATCTAAGGGAATAATAATAGTATATATATATATATATATATATAAAATTAACAACTAACCACTACAAAGTTTGTGTGCAAGAGGTTAGATGAAAAGATAATGATATGATCTAGTGAACAGAACTCATAAGGTTGAATATGAAGCAGTAACTCATCGAAGAAGACATTGCGGAATGGTTGAGCTATGTCGTGAATTGGCAGAAGCTAGAATTCACGGGCCGCTGGATTGGGTCCCAGTGGCCCAATAGTATACGAGCTCGCTAGCCTTGTAACCAGAAGGTCCTGGGTTCGAACCCAGGTGGGTGCGCAGGGATGAAGAGTTCCAAATTGAGACGAAAAAGCTGTCCAATACTCTCAGATTTTCCAGTGGTTCTCTAACTAATGTCAGCTCACGATGAAATCCTTCATCCAATCAAACTAAATCCCTACAAAACCAATACTCAAAAGAAATTATCTCTTATGGAAGTCGAACAGATGAAACAAGGTGAGGGGGTTGTTGAAAAGATAGATGAATTAATGAAGTTATAAGATCAAGAGTTATTAAGAGATGAGTCGTCAGGGTAACTGGAGTCCAACAACAACAATTTTTGATCTTCTCTTATCTAACTATGTAATCTTAATTAATTTTTTGTTACCATCTTAACAACAAACTTGTCAATTCATTTTCTAAAAACTTCTCTCTAACAAGATATATATATTCCTGAAGGTTCGAAGAGTCTTGTAGTGGTTTCTGAGATATGGCAGGGCGAATTTCTTTGTGCTTGCCTTGGGAACTTTTGGTTTGATAGGTGGGCTTGGGAGTATATGTCTTTTGATGAAATTCCCTGGATATCCATTCTTTTTTGGAAGACGTCCATGAGATATTTTTCTTCAATTTTCCTTAATGTGGGAGTTCTGTAATGAGTCCTGGCTAACACTCTTGAATAGTGTTTGTATGCAATTCCTTTTCTGTGTTATTAGATTGTTGCTGTTGGAATTCAGGATTTGGTTAGTGTGAGTTGATTTTCTATAAACTTGGGTTTCTAATTTCCCTGTGGTTGTTCGCTTGACTAAAACGTCTAAAAATGGGATTTTGTTCTCGGATTCCTCTTCTCTTGTGAATTTGATGTCGTTGAAGACTTTGTTTTATTAAGTTGTGAGTTTTATCTAACTCGTTTCTTTTGATTATTACAAATGTGTCGTCGACGTAACGTATCCAAATCTTGGGTTTGATCTTTGGTACGATTATGTTTTCTAGCTTTTCCATCACTGCTTCTGCAATCAAACCTGATATTGGCGATCCCATGGGTGTTCTTTTGACTTGTTCATATATTTAACCGTTGAATTGAAGGTACGTTGTTAGGCATAGGTTTATTCATTCCATCCAGCTTGTGCGTTGCCTTTTTGGTTGTTGTGGGAGGTCTTCGCAGTTGCTGAGTAATTGTTCTATAGTCTCCTTTACTAGCTTTTGTCCGATTGAGGTATATAATGCTGTGACGTCAAAGGATATCATTATTTCTTGTTCATCTACTTGGATGCCTCCGATTTTCTCTACAAATTGGGTAGCGGAATTGATGGAGTAATCACAAGATTCCTTTAGGTGATTCAGTTTTCTGTATAATTCTTTGGATAAATTATATGTTGCAGTTCCTGAGATTGATACAATTGGTATATATATAATACTTACACTTCAGCTACCTTGTCACCCTGATGATTTACCTCACCGAGACACTCTTATAATGTGCGTGTTGATGACGAAAGTATGTTACACTTTATGCTGACTTTTATTCATTAAAGATTGTAGGTTGCATGCAGCTGATGAGAACTAACTAACTAACGAAGTAAAATGGATCTATGTTGTTGTGCACCAATGTTTGCTCTTTCTTTGTTCAGATCCACCAAAAAAGGGAATTCTTGTGTAAAAATACCTTAGAGTTTATGGAACAAAACACCAAGTTTTTAAAAAAAATAAGCAACCTCAATAAACGTCAATAGTATTACTTACTTATGTTTAAATGAGACTGTTCATCTTCACATTCAACAGCTGAATGATGCTCAGATGTATTCATAGAATTGAATGGATCTAAGTCTATTCGAAGTGTTTTACTTTCCCATTTTGGAAGGATTACCGACGAAACGGGTAGAATAGGTAGAGTATGTGTTAAATATTGTGATGAATCATTTAGAGAAGGATTATTGTAATTATGTCGACAGTTTTCAACGTATAATTTAGTTTTATTCTAAAAAAGACAACAACATGATTTATAAACAACACATTATTGGTGGATAAACTTGTACAACAGAAACTCAATATGTGCACGTAATTAAGTGAAATGAAGCGTAAATGAATATAATATATATATATATATATATATATATATATATATATATATATATATATATATATAACAAACTACCAAAGAAAGGCAACTTAGGACTCTGCAAGAACTGATGAGGAATCATGCTCCTGTCGACACCAAGTAAAATTCTGAGTCGTATCATCCTGGAGAGAATAAAGGACGCACTGGAGACAGAACTCCGACCAGAACAAGCTGGATTCAGGAAAGTCAGGCAAATCATGTACTGACCGAATTGCAACTCTACGCATCATCATCACAGAACAAAACATGGAATGGCAATCAAAACTCTACCTCAACTTTATAGACTTTGAGAAGGCCTTCGACAGCGTTGATCGTGAAGTAATTTGGAAACTACTCGAGTACTACGGCGTACAGTGCCCCAAATATTCATCAACCTTATTCAACAGCTGCTGTACGACAACGGCACCTGTCAAGTGTTCCACAACGGAAGACTCAGAGAGGCGTTTGGAGTAAACACAGGAGTCAGACAAGGGTGCCTACCTATTATCACCAATGATATTCCTAATTGTGGTGGACTGACTGGATTATGCGTCAGACAGTGAGTGGGAAACGAGAAGACAGGGAGAGATATCCTGGACCGACCGACGTGAAGAACCTAGAAGACCTGGATTTCACGCGTGGATGATTTATGTTTGATGTCACACACAATCGAAGACTTACAAGCGAAAATCGACCGACAAACTGGTCGAAGAAGCAGGTAGTGAAGACAGGACTTCAAGTGAACATACACAAGAAGGAGGTTATGAAAATAACCAACCAACAACAGCAACAACATCCAGCGCCAATGACTATCACCGGGAGGGATTTGAAAGAGGCTACTTCATTCACTTATCTAGGGAGCATTGTCTCAACTACAGGAGCAGCGGACGAGGATGTCAAATCGAGAATCGGGAAGGCGAGCGAGAAACATTCATCATCAACCTGAAACCAATCTGGAAGGAAATCTTCGTCACTCAGCCAGCATCAACAACAAAATTCGGTCGGATTTTCGATACAAACAACGTCAAGTCAGTCAGTTCTTCTATACGGATGAGAAACTTGGTGGCCGGGACACAAAGAATATTTCCAACAGCCTGTTGCGATGCAGACCTTTATCAACCAACAACTGTCTTCGCTGGATCTATACTGAAGATCAGATGACCGGGCTGGACAGAATCGCCAACAAGAAACTATGGGAACAAACAAAAGAAGGAGAGCCAATCGCCCAACAGATATGCAGGAGAAAGTGGAGATGGATGGATTGGACACTCACTCGCTGAGGAGGCCGCCGCCGGGTGACATCGCACGCGCGTCAGGCCATTTCTCGAGTGGGACCAGTCCAAAAGGGAAGCGGCGAGTTGGTGGTCAGTGCAAGGGTGAGTGGCATGTAGGAGATCGTGTGAAGAGGAGTGGAAACAGTATGGACTAACATGGATGGATGTAGGTGAAAAGTAGAGCAGAAGATATAATTAAGTGGAGACGTGCACTTGAAGCCGTATGTTTCACTAGGAACCCAAGGGAACAATAATAATATAATTACAGCTGATATCAATCTGTGATTAGACTTGGAACAAATCAGAAAGTTCCTGCAAAGCAATCAATTCTCATAAAAATGATTATTTCAGTTATTCTCCAAGCTAGTATTTTATTTGGATGAGAAATTTTAATGACATTCTAGTTGTAACTTTTAGTGTGTACTTACACACAGGTATTTTACCACATAATATGAAAATCAAGCACAATAATGCCATAGAATATCAACTATTGTAAACATCGTTATTCAGTCAGCCTTCCGAATTCAATCGCCAGTGTTTATGATCTCTCTGAAGTCTCTGCCAATGATGTTGTCTAGAATGACAACTAAAACATTCAGCATAGAGAATGCAGCCATATCAATAAACGATTCGAGTAAAGTTGTTATTAATTTTTTTTTTGAATAGGCATAAAGATAATAACAACTAGAAGTTCATTTGTAGTTCTGTCAGGCAGACAGCACTCTCCAATCGGGAACATTATTCTACCACGGATTTTGCAGAGTTTCCGCTGAAAACCACTTTGGCATTGGAGATCCAACATCTTTTTATTACCTTTCCTTTGTCAAGGTCATTAATTAAGTTGTTTTCAAAAAAAACAAAAAAGCAAACAAACAAATTTAGTGGATAATACATACAAATCTATTTTAAAATTTGTTGAAGGAGGGTAGCCATGGTGATTTTCATTAATAAACAAACAAATCTGAACTGAGAAAATACAAATAAACCTCAACTATTTATTTACCGTTAGTTTGCAATTTGGATTTTACACGTCAAGAGGAAATCTGACCACAAAATTTCCTTCAGAGAAACCGGAGTTATTCGGATCACACACAATACGTGGTCTGCTCAATAACGTAAATGACATTCAAGAGAAGATAAGCATGGGTGTATGGAGCTACACCTTGCTGACTGATCAATACGAGTAGTTGATTATTGCTCAAGTAGCCAGTAGAGCTTTCCAGCTAACCAGACAGAGGTTACCTGAACACTGGACGGCTGTTTCACTCGATTACATTCGAGCTCTTCAGTGGTGTACCCAGTATGACTCAGGTCAGACACTCAAATTGTGGATAGCTACTTGGACGGATGGTTGAAACGGTCACTCGTTGTTAGAATCAATCTGATTTGGCTATCAGACGTTACTGGTTGCTGTGAGTGGTGTTCATACTACGCACATAAAGGAGATTAACCTTCCTTCAATAATCACAAGAGACTGGTCTGACTATTGTAGGACCTACATTTCGTTTTGCAAATGTCAAATGCAGCTTGAGAATAACAAGCCAGACAAAACCAAGTTAGGCTTCCGGCCTGAAGGATATTCCGCTGGTCATATTTTACAACTTATGACACCTTTAGGAACATAGATACAAATTCCAGCTTCCCATCACATATGTCTAAACTTGAAGGCGACTTTTTATTCTGTCAACTGAAGGTTACTACAGCGATAAATGTCTGTGAAATTGGTACCAAGAAAACTACATTGTGGTAACCATGGCAGTCTGTTGAAACTTACGTAGTTTTTTCTGGCTCTTAGTTTAGAAATAGGGAGTGATGTGGTGGAGCACGTTGACCGCTTCACTTATTTGGGAAGTACTATCAGCCCCAACGCCAACGGGTTGATCTCTGACAAAGACTCAGCACGGATACAGAGGGCTAGTTTCGCATATGTCAGTTTACGACGTCTCTGGCGTAGACGTGATATCCGGCTGGCTGTCGACGAAAGGGCGGGTGTACTGCTCAGCAGTCCGCTCCCTCCTCCTTAATGGCTGCGAGTAAGACCTGGCCATTGAGAGTGGAAGACATGAAAACGCTCGCTAGCTGTCTTCGATCATAGGTGCCTGCGTTCTATTTCCTGTGTGAAGTGGTATAGTAAGGTGAGCAATATTGAGATTAGGCTTCGGTTGAGTGCTAGGTGAGAAGAAGGGGAAATCAATCAACGAAAATGTGCAGTGACATCGACTGAGATGGTTAGGACATGTGTTACGTATGTCTAGTCATCGCCTTTCTCGACAACAAATAATGTTAGCGGACAGAGAGTTTAGGCTAGAAAAGAACTGGCGGCGGTCAAAACAAAACATGGCTTTATCAGCCAATGAAATCCGCAACAGGTAGTTTAAGCCAGTCACGTAGGAAGGTGTAGACTTCCTGATTGTTTGGGATCCTCGGGACGGTAAATACCAATGAAGGCTGGAGACAATCAGTGATATGGCTCAAAATCGTTCTCAGTGGCACAGATGCATCCACTCTTTGTGACTTATGATTTCCAATGAAACTACATTGTTCTTCGTTATTACTATTCCTTTGTCTCACACCTCTGTTTACTGCCTCTATTGGGCATTTATTCTACTTTCTTCTTTTGCTTTGTGTGCTACATAGAGGGAGTGTGGCGACTTGAACTGCTGCACATCGGTGCAAAGTTCTATGTCAAAAACAGAGAGACAGACAGACGTAGTCATTTAAAAGCCTAATGGAGAGCTGTGATTTAAACAGAGGACAACTATTGCTACTCATGAATAATCTCCAGTATCATCAGTTTTATTTGATTTTATTGTAGATTTTCTAATGCGAGGACCGTGACTGAAATCGACTTCTCAGGGTTTGACTTGTTATTACAGTAATGTATATGTATTTATTATCAAGTTACCATAGGTGAAGGGCTGATAAAATACAGAGCCATTCGAGTTGCCTGACCACAACCTTAAATTCGCTTGGTATGTAGTTTTGTCCTGTCAAATGAAAGATGATGCTGCGAAAATTGTTTGTACTGGATTCCAGTTTAAAAATAAGAGTTGAAGTAGTTAAATAATTCCATATTAGTTTGTTTATTAGTTGTATCACACACACAGTGAGTGAAACAGTATTAGTATTTACTGGATAACAAGGTTTCTAACACAATTTATTGTGGTTCATGATCATATCAATTGTAATCACACGACTTCGAAACTTGAGTTTTATAGGTTTCTTTGTCCTCTCCTATTTGTCGTCGTTGGGGTAGTAGAATTTTTCAGATATCTGCTTGGACAGGTGCTGAATCATTCCTATTACACGTGTTTGCAGTTGATTCGATATACAAAGCTTCTGTTATCAATCTCTCCCTCCACCCTGTGACCTTAGATTTTAAAACTGTCATCATATCCCATCCTATTGTGTGGTTGTGTTAATTGCATGTAGTGAGCGCTATGGCTGAACTATTCTCTAGATTTCTTATCTTATTCGGGTCAACCAATCTAGATTTTGCCAGGTTTTTATGCTCGGCTAGTCTGACTTCCCCTGTTCTAATAGTTTGACCTATGTATTTATCCTGACAATCATTGTAAGCAGGGTATTAGATAACCTAAATTGTTTTGTTTATGTTAGCTCCACTGGTAGGATCCTTTAACCGACAAAGCTTGATGCCAATTGAGTTTGTGGCTGGTTTGAATCCCAGCCACGTTTATTCCTGCCAGCCTTGTTAGGAATTCTGCGTAACGTGGTTTCCGAGGTTCCTTCCTCGTACGGAATTACTACTGATGATTTAGATTCCTTATTGTTGGTGTCGTCATTATTATTATTATTATCACTATCGCCATCATCATTATTTATTTTATTTTTACATTTGCTTACATATTTCGTGACTAACTTATCCGGGTAATTATTGATTTTCAAGGCTTCTTTTATGTGTATCAACACCTGTCTTAGATTTTCCTTGGTATTACTTAGTTTTTGTGCTCTATTATTTAAACGTCTCACCAATCCTATTTTTACTGACATAGGATGGGATGATCGCAAGTCCAGATACCTATTTGAATGTGTAATGTAACAGGAATGATTCGACAACTGTCCAGGCAGATATCTGAAAAATTCTACTACCCCAACGACGACAAATAGGAGAGGATAAAGAAACCTATAAAACTCAAGTTTCGAAGTCGTGTGATAACAATGGATATGATCATGAACCAGAATAGATTGTGTTAGAAACCTTGTCATTCAGTAAATACTAATACTGTTTCACTCACTGTATGTGATACAACTAATAAACAAACTAATATGGAATCACTTACTACCAACGCAGTGCCCAAGTGTTACACATATATGAAATAGTTAAATGTTTTAATAAACTCTCCCCCCATTGGCAAAATTGCATCAACCTGAATGGAGTAATTGCTGATGTTGTCTTAACATGGATGAACAAAAATGCTCTCGGTGTAATTGTCATACAGCGTCTTCTTTGGATAAGGAGTGATATTCATCTGACAATTCGTCGATATGTATTATTTATTATTATTGCTCCCTTGGGTTCCTAGTGGAACATAGGGCTTCAACTGCACGTTTCCATTTTCTTCTGTCTTCTGCTATACTTTTCGCCTGCATCCATGTTAATCCATATTCTTTCAACTCCTCTTCACACGATCTCCTCCATGTCACTCTTGCACTGACGTCCCACACGCCGCTTCCCTTTCGGCCTGGTTCCACTCGAGGGCTTGGCGCGCGATGTCACCCAGCGGTCTTCTCAGCGAGTGTCCGATCCATCTCCACTTTCTCCTGCATATTTCTTGGTTGGCGATTGGTTCTTGCTTTGTTTGTTCCCATAATTCCTTGTTGGTGATTCTTTCCGACCCGGCCATCTGATCTTCAGTATTGAGCGAAGACAGTTGTTAATAAAGGTCTGCAACCTTTTGGAAATATTCTTTGTGACCCGCCCGCCAAGTTTCTGATCCGTATAGAAGAACTGACTTTACGTTTGTATTGAAAATCCGAATTTTGTTGGTGATGCTGAGTGACGAAGATTTCCAGATTGATTTCAGGCTGATGAATGTGTTTCACGCTCGCCTTTCCGATTCTCGATTTGACATCCTCGTCCACTCCTCCTGTAGTTGAGACAATTCTCCCTAGATAAGTGAGTGAATGAAGTAACCTCTTTCAAATCCCTTACTTTGATGGTAATTGACGTTGGATGTTGTTGCTGTTGTTGGTTGGTTATTTTCATAACCTCCGTCTTGTCTATGTTTACCTGGAGTCCTGTCTTCTCTGGCTGCTTCTTCGACCATTTTGTCGGTTTTCGCTTGTAAGTCTTCGATTGTGTGTGACATCAAACATAAATCATCCACGCGTGAAATCCAGGTCTTCTAGGTTCTTCACGTCGGTCGGTCCAGGATATTCCCGTCTTCTCGTTTCCCACAGTCTGACGCATAATCCAGTCCACCACAATTAGGAATATCATTGGTGATAATAAGCACCCTTTTCTGACTCCTGTGTTTACTCCAAACGCCTCGCTGAGTCTTCCGTTGTGGAACACTTGACAGGTGACGTTGTCGTACAGCTGTTGAATAAGGTTGATGAATATTTGGGGCACTGTACGCCGTAGTACTCGAGTAATTTCCAAATTACTTCACGATCAACGCTGTCGAAGGCCTTCTCAAAGTCTATAAAGTTGAGGTAGAGTTTTGATTGCCATTCCATGTTTTGTTCTGTGATGATGATGCGTAGAGTTACAATTTGGTCGGAACATGATTTGCCTGACTTTCCTGAATCCAGCTTGTTCTGGTCGGAGTTGTGTTTCCAGTGCGTCCTTTAATCTCTCCAGGATGATACGACTCAGGATTTTACTTGGCGTCGATAGGAGCATGATTCCTCCCCAGTTCTTGCAGAGTCCTAAGTTGCTCTTCTTTGGTAGTTTCACGAGGTAACCTTTCCTCCAGTCAGTAGGCACCTTTCCCTCCTTCAAGCCAGACCTTTTGCAATAATGCAGTCGATATGTATACAACGATACAAATCTCACCGTCCAATTTTACCGCCGTAAAAATTGGTAGCTGATGAAAAGACTGACGGTTTTCAGTCATGCATATCTGCATTGATCCTCTTTATTTTTTTCAGATGACTCAGCATAATCACAGATAATGAGAATAAAGTTAGATAAAATGGGGAAGTTAATCGACGGGGTTGTGAATCTACTTCTAGTAAGATGCTTAGAGTCTGTGTTACATATCTAAAGTAAGATCAGATTACAGAAAAGTTAGGGATAGCAACATGAAGACATGGCACGAATGTATAAAATCTCTGACTACTGCCCAAGTCACTTAGGCTATTTAGAAGTGTGTCACTCCTCTGGACTAGTGCTCTTGTTTGTGAATTTCTATATTGATAAGCCACTCAGTCAATATTTTTGTGAACGTGAAAGTGAGCAAACATTTTGTGTGGGATAAAATAATCGCAAAATAGCCCTAATTTTTAGAAAATAGAGAACTTACATTCGTTATCGGTGTACTCGAAGGCAGTAGACACCTGCTTGACAGTGTGCCTCGATCATTCATTCGTGAATTGCAAAGGTAAGCGGAATTCGCACTGGTCTTTATTTGTGACGCAGTACTTGCAGTTAAATCAGTATGATTTACATAAGTTGTTGCAGTGGTCTTTGGCAGTGGTTTACCACAATTGCCATTCTCTGATTTACGATTACTGTAGGTGGGTGAGAAAACAGTTGTATGATTCAACAGGGTAGATGGCTTATCAGCAGGTTTATTGACGAGGGAAGAACAACACCGACATGATTCAGAATAGCATGAAACTGAATTGCTTGGTTTTGATAAGCAAATATTTACAAGGAAAATGGATAGGAATGCCAACAGTAGACCAGATATGATCAAATCCAATAACTCAGCTGGAATACAATTGTAAAATAGGTTGGAACAATAATAATAATAATAATAAAGTAGAATTCCTATATATATTTAGAGATAGTTGAGAAAACAGTAAGAGTAATCTTAAAACGTATGCACACACACATACACATATATCTTAAACAAAAGTTAGACAGTCAGTTTTTCAATGATTGAAAAGGGCGTATGATAAAAGTGAACTTCAAAGATGCTGGTTTTTTCTGCAGGTTGGAGGTAGGCGGAATAAACTGTTATTCAGAATAGATGGGTGGGAGGTAACTGACGTCAATAAACAAGAGACTATTCAACTTGTTTCCTGTTATTTTGACGACTCTTCAGTTAAGCAGGAATGCTTCAAGCTCTCTAGGTTTCATTGTAAGAAAACACTTTCATTTTAAGTATTGGTTTGGCAGGGATTTTGTCTGATTGCATGGAGGATTTCATCATGAGCTGACATCAGTTAGAGAATCATTGGAAAACCAGCTGGGAGTACTAGACAACTGTTACGTCCTAGTTTGGGACTCTCCATCAGTACGTACCCACCTGGGTTCGAACCCAGGACCTTCTGGTTACAAGGCGAGCTGGTAGACCATTGGGCCACTTGGACACGACCCAATAGTCCTTGAACTCTAACTTCTGCCAAATCACGACATAGCGCGACAAATTCGCAATGTCTTCTTCGATGAGTTACTGCCTCATATTCAACCTGCAGTAACCTACTGGTCACGGCTTTACACTAGAACCCCAGGTTAACTGCCTGAATAGGGCCAGTCACTAGTTAGCATCAGATGAATTTTCAAGTATTGGTTTTGTGGGGATTTCATTTGATTGCATGGAGGATTTCATTTCATTACTAGTGGGAAACCGTGACCGGTAGGTTACTGCAGTTTGAAGATGAGGCAGTAACTCATCGAAGAAGACATTGCGAAATGGCCGCGCTATGTCATGAATTGGCAGAAGTTAGAAATCAAGGACCATTGGATCGCGTTAGTCCCAGTGACTTAATGGTCTACGAGGTCACTTGCCTTGTAACCAGAAAATCCAGAGTTCGAACTCTGTCGGTGGGTGCGTACTGCCGAGGAGTCCCAAACTAGGACGAAACAGATGTCTAGTATTCCCGACTAGTTTTCCACTGGTTCTCTAACTAATGTCCACTCACGATGAAGTCCTCCACTTTCATTTTGATCACTGTTTAGATAAAAAACAAACCTGTGAAGTTCCACTGTTTATAGTTTTTTCACCACAGCTTTCAACAGAAATTTCAAAGATGTGTGAGTCGGTGTGTCAGGTGGGTAAGCGCTAATTTCACACAAACTAGAAGATCTACGGGCAAAATTTGACAAGCTGGCAGAAGGCAGAGGCGGCTGATGTGAAGATATCTGACTACAAATAACAACAAAAGGCACCATTCACCATTAACGGAAGAAATCTAAGGGAAGTTACCTCTTTCACTTACCTTACTCCTGACAGTATCGTCTCAACTACCAGCAAGAATGAGGATTTCAAAGCTAACCAGCGTTGGTAAAGTAAAAACGAAATACCTTTAATACTGTTAAATCAGTAAACAAATTCTGTTACAACCAGCATTTTGAAGAAAATTTGGCTTTTCAGAACTAATGCCAGTCATTAAGAGACATTAAGAGACTTTTAATGTGCGTCACATGAAAAGCGTTTCCGACAAGCTATCGCAGACTTTCGTGAAGATGAGTTGGCCGAAGAAGAATCAGATTCGAGGAATTCTAGGAGACAACGAACTAACTGAGAACCTATCACTCAGCGAATGTCTAGAAGGAAGTGGGGATAAATTTGGACATGTTCTGTGAAGACTATTAAGTGAAATCACGCAATGGGTCCTAGGGTGGAACCGGTGGTTTGGGAAACGATAAGTTGGATCTGGATCTCATGAGATGGCTTTAAGAAGAAAGAAAACATTATGCGTAGCCAATGAGCCATCTAAAAAAGACTACAGATTACTGGATGTAACGGTGATATGTTCTGCTGAAGCCCAATATTCCACTCGCAACACAAACGAATAGTAATAATATAATTTATAGGACAAAATACTACTAATAATAACAATTTCGATAACATACACTCTAATCCAGTGGTTAGAGCATATTCTAAATTGACAAGTATTTAGTGGAACTATTCCATGTGTTAAAGACACACATATGCACTTAAAAAGTGGGTGTGAGAAAATCTCTTTCTAGACGTATTCATATCAAGAAACGCTGATAAAGACTGTGAACTCCATATCTATCAAATAACAAGGAAGAGTTGCGGATGACGACGTTCATTATATTGATCAAAATCTGCAGGACAATTCTTGAGGGAAGAAGATCACATAAAATGAAGGTGAGCTTAGTGACAATCAGCAAAGGACAATTACTCTTGTAGATATCATAATTTAAGTGCAGTGATCAGAATAAAAAATTCATTCTTAAACGAAACAGTTCCATTCAGAGAATATATAATATTATTTATTATTATTGTATTATTAATTCCTAGAGGAACATAAGGATTCAGCCTCACGTCTCCATTGCCTTCGCTTCTCTGACAACGTTTTCACCTGGTTTCATGTCTGCCCACATTCTTTCGTCTCCTCTTCACATCACCTCCTCCAAGTCACCCTTGCACTGACGGCCAACTCACCGCTTCCCATTCGGGTTCCATTCGAGCGATGGCTTGGCGTGTGATGCCTATTGATAGTTTGTTTTCTCAGAGTATGGACAATCCACCTACATTTTTCCTGTTTATTTGTTTCACAATCGGTTCCTGCTAAGTTGGTTCGCTCCCAGAGAATCACCCTGTTGCTGATCTTTTCTGGCTGGCCATCTGTTCTTGAGTATTGAGCGAAGACAGTTGTTGATGAAGGTCTGTAGTATGTTTGAGGTGCTCTTCATGATGCGCCAAGTTTCTGATCCGTATAGTAGCACTGACTTTACATTGGAGTTGAAAATCCGGATCTTATTTTCATTTTCATGTTGAGTGCTGTTGACCTATACACAGATTTGAGGGTAATGAAAGCTTGTCTTGCTTTCTCGATTATCGCTGCTTTGATATCCTCGTCATTTCCGTTGGCCTGTAGTTGAAACGACGCTTTCCAGTTAGGTTGGTAGGTAAAGGAAGTTGTTTCTTTGAGGTTTCTCCCACTTATGCTGGCTGATTGTTGTCTGTTGTTGTAGCTGTTGGTGGTAGTGTTGGCCAGGAATCTTCATCACCTCTGTTTTCTCTATGTTCAGAATGTGTAGAACAACTCATATCTCTTAAATGAGCGATCGTGCTGAGTTCCGCTAAATTTATCCCTTTGGATATTCTGGACCAAAGCAGATGCTCTAGTCACTTTTTACGGAATAAAAGATTTTCACTACACAGAAGACTTTCGTCTTTAACGACCTAGCGAAATGATTTCCAGTTTTAACAAGATACGTAAACTTTTACATTGGAATTTCTGCTTGCATATGCTATTTCTAGTGTGCTACTTTTGTTTTCCTCTAACGTTTTCCATACTGTTCATAAGAACATTCCATTAATCTTCTTCGCTGCGTAGCTCAGTGATCAGTTATTGAAGGTTTTTTTGTGGGACATATCACATACAATATACTACTCATAGGTTATTGTCAGTAGTACACGCCATACATCCAAGCAGTAGACCGTAATATGCGTAGTTTGAACTGATTTATCTACCTTAGATGATTCAAACCCAGTTCATCAACTGACTGTCCCAATCCTGAAGGAGCGAAAGGGCTGTTCAGTGTTTACTTCATTTTAATCTGGTTGGTGAGTGGTGTGAACGGTATCCAACTACTCATACTTGCCAATAAGTAGTATACGAAATCAAAATGAATTTCTCTGCTTACTGGTTTTAGGTTTAGCAAACACCCACTCATTACAGTATAGACTTTTTAGTTGTGGTCTTCACAATATCCTATATTTTAAACTAGCGTCATACATATTCAATAAAGAATAGGACTGTAGGTAGGACTCGTTGGTTGCTTAGCTGTAGAATGATCGCCAACTACGCTTGTGGTCCAGGGTTCGGTCCTCAGCAGACAGAATTCTTTACCTTCCTAAACCAGTAATAAGATCGGTAAAGAAGGAAGGTTTGACATGAGTCTAACAGCCCCACCCCATAAAAGTAAACACAACTACTATAAGAATAGAATTTGTGCACTGTGGCAAAAGTATAATTCCGTTGTGTGTTATACAGTAATTTTTTTTCCTTCACGTTCTCAGGGGAACATAGGGTCTCAAGCTAGAGGCTTGAAGTTTCTGTAGCAGTGTTTAACTTTTACAGGATGGGGTTGCTAGCCTCATGCCCGACCTTTCCTCTCCACCAGTTTTACTTCTGGCTGAGTGAGGTAAAGGAGTGCGGCGGCCGGGGATCGAACCCCGGAACATGTGCATGGTCGGCGAGCGTCTTAACCGCTATGTCACCATTACACGGTAATATTTTGCTGTATTTACTTTCGGCAAATATTACTTTGTAACATTGGAAGATTTCATCAAAATAAATTTTATCCACAATGGTAAACACCTCCGCTACCGAAACTTCAAAGCTCTAACTTGAAACCCTATGTTCCGCAGGGGAACACCAAGGAATAAATTAATAAATAAATAATCACTAGGTAGGGTGAAACAACCTGTGTGTAGATTACTCAACGCAAGAAAAAAGTATACTGTGATCGAAAGAGATGACAACTGCCAACTGCCATATTTGCAGATAAAAAGGCGGAACGGATAAGGATGTCAGCGTCAGCCAACTAGCATCGCGAAAGTAACACAGAACTGCATTAATCTGAAATCGGTGTGGAAATCTGCTGCACTCAGTGCATTAACGTAACGCTTCGGAGACTTGTTGCGCCCCAGGAAAAGTCGTCCTTACAGGCCAGCACAGACTTTCGTCAACAACTGCCCTGCTGAATACTGAAGATCAGATAGGCATACTGATGACCTCTCTGTTTCTATGCCTGTTAACTCTCAGTCAGATTGTTCCAAATTATATAACTTTCTGTCGGAAATTAGTCAGTGGTACTCTTCGAACGGTCTTAAGCTGAATCCATCTAAATGTCATGTAGTCAATTTCACTTTCAGACGGAAATGTGACCTACAGCAACTAGTTGGCTTACATGGCCCCACTATCATTGACGGCATACAGGTTGAAATTCCTCCGATCTTTCCTGGTCCTTCCACATCTTGCTAATTACTAGAAAGAAGTTTCGCTTAACGCTCTATGTTAGGAAGTTAAGACAGTCTGGCATAAAGCAGTATTTGCTTTCTCAGTCGGTCAATTCTTGTATTCTACCCATCCCTCTTTACCGCTCCCCATTAATTTTCCTGGACTACTTAAGAAAGACTTTGATTTGCTGAGAAGGGCACTAAAAGCCGTTAGTAGGGCAAGTGGGGATATCGTTAAACCAACTGGTTAGCACTATTATGGATAGACATATAATGTCATGTGAGAAACTAGAGAATACTGTATTGTTAGACCTCTAGGATCCTCCCTATACTCAACTGTCTCCTTGCACTTCATCTGGTAGAACTATAAGCAGCTATATGAGGCTATATGCTAGGACTACCAAGTACAAAAACTCCACAATCTGATTCCATATCTGACACAGCTGTTATGTGATGAGAAATCCGTTAGGTATGAGACGATCAACTTACTGCGACACTCTAACAAATAGTCCCATTAGTTTTTGTTTTCCTTTCTTCGTTACTATTACACTGTTGTTCACATCTTCTATTACACACTAATTTTATATTTTATATCATGTGGTGCATTGTTTAAAATGTAAACGCAACGCTGTTGTTTTTTTTTTTTTTTTTATTTATCTTATTTTGGGTGTTGCTTTTTGATTTTAAAATCTTATAAAACTTATGAGGTAATTAGATGCAATAAATTGTAATGCACGCTGAAAATTCCATACCTCTACCACAAATACTGTTTGGAATAAAGCTGTTATTATTATTATTAGTAGTAGTAGTAGTATAACTGGCTGAAGGCGGCGAGTAACAAGGAGTTCTTGCAACAAAGCAATCAAGAATCTATCATCTAACAAATATGCCAGAAGTAGTGGAGATTAATCAGCGCGGGGAGAGTTGAGTGAATGAAATCAAGTGTCAAACGCGAGATTGGAAGCCAAATGTTAAACGACTAGTTTGGCTTTCCAAGAATGTCATCCAAAATGAGAAGGGCTTGTACTCAATCATGAAGCCAGTTAGAAAGAGACTGCAGAGAGCAAAGAGAAACTTAGGTGTGTGCTGCTGATGCGTTATGTTCTATTCAAAACTCAAGGGTATATCATCAACAGCAACAATAAGAAACTATCGGAACAAACAAAACAAGAACAAATCAATCGCCAGCCAACAAATATGCAGGAGAAAGTGGAGATGGATGGATTGGACACTCACTCGCTGAGGAGGCCGCCGCTGGGTGACATCGCACGCACGTCAGGCCACTGCTCGATTATAACCAGTCCGAAAGGGAAGCGACGTGTTGGTCGTCAGTGCAAGGGTGAGTGGCATGTAGGAGATCGTGTGAAGAGGAGTGGAAACAGTATGGACTAACATGGATGGGTGCAGGTGAAAAGTACAGCAAAAGACAGAAGTGGTAAGTGGAGACGTGTAGTTGAAGCCGTATGTTCCACTAGGAACCCATTGGCACAACAATAATAATAAATATCATCAATGCACAATCATTTAATTTTAAAAGTGAGATGTTAGACAAAGAACAAATCTCTGCCTACAATATACACAACATAGATAGGTGTAAAAAGCACTTACCTATAGGACTGTAGATTGCTTGTACTGACTCCAGCCGTATAAGACGATTTTTGTCTTGTGTCAATTGTATTGTAATAGTAACTAATCTATTTGTTGATGTTGTTTATTGGACGAATTGATTATTCGTTTAATCATTATTATTGTTATTGAAATTATTGAATAATGAATTAATTAGATTTCATTTATTATTAAAAGTAAATACAGTCAGAGTTGTGTTTTTTTGAATGTTGTATGGCGTGTACAATGGAGATGCAGTATAGAAAAATACAGTGGGGAAAATTAAAAAAAGCGAAAGGGAGAGAGAGAGAGAGAAAGATTAGAAAACACCAAGAGGCAAATAAATAAAATCAGTTAATTAGAATTTTCAAGAAAAACTGCGGTAGAAATTCACTCAACTCATCCTGATTTACTTTCTTATTATAAAAATAAAGAAAACTAACCAGAAAACAACTGTAATTATTGGTATTATTATTTTCATTAGATAAAAAGATGTCTGAGACTTTCCTGATAAAAATGAATTATACATATATTTATTCAATGAGTAGTCCTCAGTCAGGCATTCATGACACAGAGAGACTTTTATTCGGATTCACTTTCCTTAGCTGGCCAGTCACAATTTTATTTGGTCACAGGATTTCATCATCAGCTAAGAGTACTGCCAGACAGCTGTTTCGTCGGCCTAGTTTGGAACTCTTCAGTAGTACGTATTCACCACCAAGGTTTGAATTCAAGAACTTTCAGTTACAAGGCAAGCTAGCTCGTAGACCATTGAACCACTAGGATGAGATCCATTGGCCGATCCATGAATTCCCACTACTGCTACCACTAGCCAATGTTTTCGGTGAGTATTCGTCATCATATCCAACTTGTTGTACCATACTGGTTACGACTTCTCACTAGAACCCTAGGTAACTACTTACCTGAATAGGGCAAGTCGCTAGTGAGCATCTCATTGATATTCAAGTGTTTGTTTGTAGGGATTTGATTGGTGACAGGATTTCATCATGAACTGACATTAGTTAGAGAATCATTGGAAAACCAGCTGGGAGTACTGGACAGCTCTTTCGTCCTAGTTTGGGACTCTTCAACAGTACGCGCCCACCGGGATTCGAACCCAGGACCTTCCGGATACAAGGCTAACGGGCTTGTATACAATTAAGCTACTGGGACCCGATCCAATGGCCCATGAATTCTAGCTTCTGCAAATTCACGACATAGCGCGACCGCTAGCCAATGTCTTTGGCAAGTATTTGTCCTCACACTCGACCTGCTGCATCCCAATGGTCATGACTTCCCATTAGAACCCCAGATGACGAAATTCTGTAACTAATCAATCAAATCCCTACAAACCAACACTTGAAAGTTACATTTATATTTATTTTCACAAAACGGAATAGTAAAAGAAGTGATGAGTTGTCTACAAAAGCCTGAGATACAAGATCGTACGCATGACTACTTCTATGCGCGTGTATTAATTCGCCTGTTTTTGTAATACTAGGTGTACTGGTAGTTCAACCAGTATCCTGTCTATCTAAAAGAGTTGAAGAACAGCATGCCGCATATTACAGATAGGTACCAATTAGGAGTGCAACAACTGCACATCTTGTCAACACTGGTTATTCTATCTCAACAAACTCCTCTTTCAGAGTAAAGAATTATCTTTCACAGACAATACACTTTCGTCGTCTTAGCATTACTGAAGCTACGGGCAGTCCACTTGCTCTATCTTACCAGAAATCTTCATATTCAACCTTAAGAGAAGAAAGTTTTAGCACGCGATCTACGAAACAACTACTTATTGTCGATATGTTGATGACACATTTGTAGTGTGCCACAATGAAAGTCATGCTTCCTACCTACTCAGATTATTCAACGATGCATATACCAATAATTAATTTACTATGGAGCATGAAAGTGATGGAAAGTTCCATTTCCTCGGCATTGCTATGCAACACTTAAAAGATGGTAGTCTCCAGAAGTCCATTTACCGAAAACCGACATAGAATGGACAATACCTACATTTTACTGGTTTTATCCAAATATCTTTAAAAGAGCAGTAGTCTAGACCCTATAGTATAGAGCCGGAAGAATATGGTCTACCTACAAATTAGACGAAGAATTTCCGATTCTCGAAAAGATGTTGAAAAACAACGGTTACCCTCAGGGTTTCATTAATAATTACGGCTTACCTGAAGGCTCAAATGTCAAGCAAGTGCGTCGGTGGTACAGTGGTTAGGACGCTCGTCAACCATGCACATAGTCCAGGGTTCGATCCCCGGCCGACGAACTCCTTTACTTCACTGAGCCAGAAATAATGCTGGTAAAGAGGAAAGGTTGGGGATGAGGCTAGCAACCCCATCCTGTAAAATAAACACTGCTACAGAAACTTCAAGCCCCTAGCTTGAAGCTCTATGTTCCACTGGGAACGTGAAGGAACAAAAATATGTCAAACAAATAATGGTGGGAAAAAAGCCAATCTTCAATCAAATTTACTTTAAAGGTGAAAATATTACATCATTCGCCGAAAAAAGATTAAGGGCGTCACTAGGCATAGCCTATTCTGCTGCTAAGCTGGTTCCCATCTACCGAATAAACTTGCTCTTTGGTGCAATGTATCTGTAGGAGCAGTTACATTGGAAAGACAGAGAGAAGGGAATATCTACGATTTTCTGAACATGTACCAAAAAAGCCTATCTCTAAAGAGAATAAAGGCTTTAAACAGTGCCATCATCAGGCATCTACTGAACACGGGTCATGAAGTGGACGTCACAAGATCGTTTAAAATTATCACTAGGCAAAAAAAAGTTCAATTCTCTTCAAGTTTTCGGAAGCGATCTCCATCAAATGCCTGAAACCTGACGTTTGCGTTCAGAAAGAAGTGGTTATCAGTCTTTCATTGTCATTATTGTTCGGAATAGTGACTAATATTATATATATATATATATATTATTATTGTTTGCATATATTGATCGATTGATTTTTGTTTAAAAATGAACTCTGTGTTCAAGTATGTTAAAACTGTTTCTGTACATTTATACTCAGTAACGACTTTAGCCTGTAAACAGCTGATGAGAAGGATAACGAATTTAGCAATGATGATACCTTTTTTTGATTTTGCAAAAGTCACTGTTGTTCTTGCTTTGTTCACAAATGTAAAAACAATTTATCCACCAGCCGCATTTTTCGTAACATCACTCAGCATAATTAAAAAAAAAGAGGCGTCGGGGTATTTTTCTGTTTTTCAAACTGATATTCAAGCCAGTGGTTTTTGTTATGCATCATTTTCTTGTTCCACTGAAACCTATTTTGTTTGACAAAAAATTTATTTCCCAAATTTTTCAGAAAAAAAAGAAAAGAGAAAATGTTTCTCACAGGAAACTAAATCAAAAATTTTTAGTATCAAGTTCGTTAGCAAAATTATTTCTGTCGACCAAAACTGTAATATAAATAATAACCAATTTTTGTTTTTGGTAAACTTACCCTGTTTCAACGCTGAAATATTTTGCCAGTGAGATGATTGATTTCAAAACCAAGCGAGAAAAAAGGAGAGACGAAACAAGATTTGAGTTAGTAAGAAATTTAGAAGAAAAAAAAGTGTCTTAAGACATAAAATATAAGTCGATTTGATGTGAGAAAACAACATAATATTTCAACTGAAGCGTTTAAGTTGAGTTATATAAGGCAATAAAACAACCGAAAAACAATCCTCTAAAGTTTTGGTTTTGCGGAGATTTAACCGTTCATGGTTTTTATAACGAGGTGATAACTGTTAGGGAATAAACAGGAAGCTGAGGGGCACTCTACGTCTGATCCGTCCGTATTTAGAGTTGACCACCAGCACTCGAACCCAGGACCTTTAGTTACAAGGTGACCTCATGAAATACTCAGTGCCCCATGAAATCCAGTTTCCGCCATTTCGTGATACGCCCGTTGTAACGTTTAGCCAATGTTATCAGCGAGCAACTGTCCTCCAATCTAACTTGGTAGATCCAGCTGGTGATCACACCTGTACCCAATCAAATTCCTTGGAAACCAACAAAACAAAATTAATCTGATGCTCCATAACAGGAATTCACCTGGAGTTTCAGTTAAGGAAACGTCAATAACGAGGTCCATCAAGTCACATAGGAGGACAGTTACGAGCCTGTGACAATATCTGGTGGTTGAGCTATATTATTATTTTATCCTTTAGTTCCTAGAGGAACATAGGGCTTCAGCTGCGCGTCTCCATTGCCTTCGGTTTTCTGCCAACTTTTTCACCCCGCTCTAAGTCTGCCCACATGATTTCATCTCTTCTTCACATGACCTCCTCAAAGTCACCCTTGCACTGACGACCAACTCGCCGCTTTCCATTCGGCAGGGTTCCACTCGAGCGATGGCTTGTCTAGTGATGTCATTTGATGGTTTTCTCAGAGTATGGCCAATCCAATCCATCTCCACTTCTTCCTGCCTATTTGTTGCACAATCGGTTTCTGCCGATTTGGTTCGCTCCCAGAGATCCCTCCCTGTTTCTGATCTTTTCTGGCTGGCCATCTGATCTTGAGTATTGAGCGAAGACAACTGTTAATGAAGGTCTGAAGTTTGTTTGAGATGCTCTTTATGACGGGCAAAGTCTCTAATCCATACGTATAGTAGCACTGACTTCACATTGGAGTTGAAAATCCGGATCTCGTTTTTCATGCTGAGTGCTGTTGATCTCCTCTACACAGATTTGAGAGAAATGAAAACTTGCTTGTCTTGCTTTCCCAATCCTCGCTGCTTTGATATCCTCGACAGTTCCGTCAGCCTGTAGTTGAAACGATGCTTCCCAGGTAGGTAAAGGAGGTTGTTTCTTTCAGGTTCCTCCCATTTATGCTGGCTGATTGTTGTCTGTTGTTGTTGTTGGTGGTGTTGGCCAGGAATCTTCATCACCTCCGTTTTCCCTATGTTCACCTGAAGGAGGTCTTATCTTTGATGCTTCTTCTATCGCCAACTTGTTGCTTTTCACTTGCATATCTTCCAGTTTGTGGGAAATCAGACATATATCATCGACGAAGTCCAGATCCTCCAGGATTTTTGTGTGAGTCCATTTTATGCCTGTTTCCTCATTACCCGTTGTCTGTCGCATTATCCAATCTACTGCTATACGTTTCACCAAATAAGGATTTTTTTAGAAAATTACACTTTAGTCTCAAGCGAGAGATAATGAATGATTTGTAGGAGGACTAGACAAAGTTTAGGCGTGCGTCTGCCGGGTAGTGAATTGACTTAATCGGCATCCTACCATCAAACCACCAAAGCATTCCTCTTTATTTTCTTTCTTTGTAAAGTACCTCCATAAGTTCAATTGTGTTCCATTGAAACTTATTAGCACTCGTTGAGAAACTCCATGTCAACTCTATGGAAAGTAGAAGACATATTTTGAGTCAGTATTGATGTATGTGATGTAGAAATCAGATATTGTTAGGCGTTACATTAATGGTAAGAGCTGAACTCAAAACTTCGTTATTATTCTCCCTGAAACTATACCATTTCTACATACATACAAGTATGAAGCAAAGCTAGTTAATACAAACCACCTCTTGAGGCATTATTCTAATGCTTGTTTGTGACTGGTTAAAGAACGAAGTTCCCCTGGAGTTCTAGTGAGAAGTCATCATGACCAGTAGTGTTCACGAGGTCGAGTGTGTGCAGAATTGTTGGCTGATAGTCATACTAAATTCATGAATTGACAGAATTTAGGATTTTTATGAATCACCGGATTCCAGCTGAGGTGACTGATAAAACAAGTGATGACAAAAACTAAGACCTTATAGATAGTGACAAAGATCTTTTCCGGAGTAAGTTTACACTATCACTCAAAAGATCCATCCACCGGAAACGTACATGGAATGAACGGACAGCTAACTAATTTTTATAGTTGGATGCCTCCTCTCATTCTCTCGGCTTAAGAATATGAAATATTTGCACTTCTGATTGCGTTGACTCAGAATTTCACTTCTTAAAAGCTACGCCTTACAATTAAAATTAATTTATGCTTTTCGTACACCTAACTAATGACATGTTTTTTAGAGGTAGTTAGATAACTACTGAGTCGATGTTATATAGTACTGACTGAGTTCTCTGAGTGGTCGGATACCACTTACATTAATGATTTATGCTCACTAGTCAGATCTAAGATGTGTGTGTGTGTGGCATCTAACTATCCGTACCAGCCAATCAGTAGTATAATAGATCATGCATTTCTGTTTACTTTCTTGATTACCGACATTTACGGGATGTCAAGCAGACCACGTACTCTGATCTGAATAATTTTGGTTATCAAAAGATAATTTGGTGAATTTTCACCTCTCTCAGAACTGTGTAACTTTTTAATCCACGAACTTATTTGTGAATTGAACTGAGAATTTGAATAAATAGTTGAAATGTTTGGAAAGCGTATGGGGTTCAGAAAATCTTTGGGCTTATCTGTCGTCTTAAGACAAGTTTATGTATGTTTAGAATCTCTGAATGATCTGTAGGAAACTGAGCAGTTCACATTATTAATAATAACATCTTTATTCTGCATAGTATTTGTTAAATGTACCGAATTTCCAGAAAAGTATATTTTCCTTTCGTACAATATCTTCAATTAAAACATTAATTGACAGTATATTCTTTCTGTGACACACAGCTGTCTCTGAACTGAAGCACAAACCATTTCATTATGATGTATCTGCTTTGTCTCTTTCCAGAAATCCACGATATCTAGATGAAAGCCAATTGTAAGATGTTCAGAAGTCCATTTTGACATCCAAGGAGATAACTAAAGAACAATTATCTTATGTATTGAAACTCATTTCCACCGCCAATCCAGACACTCCTCAAGTAAAGTAATAACTTGTGAATAAGCATCATTACAAATCATATCATATCGACTAGCAAAAACCGACAAACTGGTCGAAGAAGCAACCAGCGAAAACAGGACTCCAGGTGACCATAGACAAGACGGAGGTTATGAAAATAACCAACCAACCAACAACAACAACAACAGCAACATCCAGTGCCAATCACCATCAACCAGAGGGATTCGAAAGAGATTAGTTACTTCATTCAATCACTTATCTAGCATTGAGCATTGTCTCAACTACAGGAAGTCAAAACGGATGAGGATGTCAAGTCGAGCGAGAACCGGGAAGGCAAGCGAGAAACGCATTCATCAACCTGAAACCAATCTGGAAGGAAATATTCGTCACTCAGCCAGCATCAACAACAAAATTCGCTCGGATGTTCAATACACACAACGTCAAGTCAGTCAGTTCTTCTATACAGATCAGAAAGTTGGCGGGCGGGCGAGTCACATAGAATATTTCCAACAGCCTGTTGCGATGCAAACCTTTATCAACCAGAAACTGTCTTCGCTGGATCTATACTGAAGATCAGATGGCCGGGCCGGAAACAATCACCAACAAAAAGCTCTGACTGGGAACAAACAATCAAAACAAGAACAAATCAATCGCCAGCCAACAGATATGCAGGAGAAAGTGGAGATGGATGGATTGGACACTCGCTCGCTGTGAAGGCCACCACTGGGTGACATCGCGCGCGCGTCAGGCCATTGCTCGAGTGGAACCAGGCCGAAAGGGAAGCAAGTGGCGAGTTGGACGTCAGTGCAAGAGTGGTTGACATGGAGGAGATGGCGTGAAGAGGAGTATGGACTAACAGTATGGACTAATATGGATGGATGCAGGTAAAAGTTACAGCAGGAGGAAGACAGAAGCAAGTGGAGACCTGTAGTTGAAGCCGTATGTTCCACTGGGAATCCAAGGGAACAATAACAATAATAGTAATAACAATAATACGGGTCGTATCTTAATCGATGAAAGCAAACCGAACTGAAGAAAATATGGGAAATAGAGAGATGGAATATTTTAGCAGGTCAAGTTTTAGTATTTTTTTCCTGGTTACAAAGAACCTTAAAATCAATCCTTGTTGAATTAGCCTAATTATTAAAATAATGCGATTCGAAAAGAAGACCTTGCAGTCTACGTGATGGATTGAGCATGAAGGATTCATCATTGATTCATAAGATGTTATTAAAATACCATGGTCTGAAAATACGAGCTGATAATTATAACTGATCCAGGAAAATGCCGGATAGGCTATAAAAGACAAGTTATTGTATCTTTTCAAGACTAAAGATTCACCTCGACACTCTTCTTCGCTAAATGAATATTTTCTTTTAGCACAAAATAAGTACTCATTCGACAAAAAGGATAATAATAACAACAGCTTAATTATGGACTATTATTATTTTATTTTTTATTTATTTTGTTTTTATTATTGTTCTTATTGTTCCCTTGGATTCCCAGTGGAACATACGGCTTCAACTACAGGTCTCCACTTGCTTCTGTCTTCCTCCTGCTGTAACTTTTACCTGCATCCATCCATATTAGTCCATACTGTTAGTCCATACTCCTCTTCACGCCATCTCCTCCATGTCAACCACTCTTGCACTGACGTCCAACTCGCCACTTGCTTCCCTTTCGGCCTGGTTCCACTCGAGCAATGGCCTGACGCGCGCGCGATGTCACCTAGTGGTGGCCTTCACAGCGAGCGAGTGTCCAATCCATCCATCTCCACTTTCTCCTGCATATCTGTTGGCTGGCGATTGATTTGTTCTTGTTTTGATTGTTTGTTCCCAGTCAGAGCTTTTTGTTGGTGACTGTTTCCGGCCCGGCCATCTGATCTTCAGTATAGATCCAGCGAAGACAGTTTCTGGTTGATAAAGGTTTGCATCGCAACAGGCTGTTGGAAATATTCTATGTGACTCGCCCGCCCGCCAACTTTCTGATCTGTATAGAAGAACTGACTGACTTGACGTTGTGTGTATTGAACATCCGAGCGAATTTTGTTGTTGATGCTGGCTGAGTGACGAATATTTCCTTCCAGATTGGTTTCAGGTTGATGAATGTGTTCCTCGCTTGCCTTCCCGGTTCTCGCTTGACTTGACTTCCTCATCCGTTCCGACTTCCTGTAGTTGAGACAATGCTCAATGCTAGACAAGTGAGTGAATGAAGTAACTAATCTCTTTCAAATCCCTCTGGTTGATGGTGATTGGCACTGGGTGTTGTTGTTGGTTTGGTTGGTTGGTTGGTTATTTTCATAACCTCCGTCTTGTCTATGGTCACCTGGAATCCTGTCTTTGCTGTCGGTAATTGCTTGTAAGCCTTCGATTTTCTGTGACATCAAACATAAATCATCCACGCGCGAAATGCAGGCTGTTGTAGGTTCTTCACGTCGGTCGAGGATATCCCTGTCTTCTCTTTTCCCACTGTCGTACACATAAATCAGTCTACCACAACTGGGTTAATTTACAGCATAATATATTTTCTTCATCAAGGACTTTCAAGTGAAATAGCCATCTATAGTATATCATGTAACGGACTGCTGTTCTATCTGAAGCAAAAACACTTCCTTCTTCTTGGAGAAATGCACACCCTGTAGTCTGAAAACCACTTTTTTTTTATAAAAAAACAATTTGGGTAATTTTACTCTGTTACTCAAGGATTAGGAATTCAGGCAGCCTACTGATTCAAGCAGGCTGCCGTAAGACGTGTTGAAAACACCAGATACCGCGCTTCCAATTTAAAGTTTAAGGCACGACTATGAAGAAGTGCTCATAATCTCTGTTCACAGTGAAAATAAGTTATACTTATAAAAGATATGAGTAGTTGATTTATGACAAATTGTATTCCGTAGAACAGAACTATATCACGCCATTTTGGTGTTGCCATGCCCCTTGCTTTACAAAGCGTCAATGTGCATATTACCTCACTAACCTCCACTTTGAAAAAAAAGATACACGAATGTATAGTATTGAAACCCACATTAAAAAAAACAAACTCATGTGCTACAGCGAGTGGAAGTTAACAAATTAATTAATTACCTACCCTGATAAACTTTCTGGTTTCGAATTCAGACTAGCTCGATCAATTGGAAGAGCTTCAATTAATTCACGATTATCAGAGACTAATTTTGAAAACACAGTTCTCAATTGTTTGAATTGAGAATCAGTAGCCAATAGTACAGCTTGTAAGCTGGCTATATCTTCACTGGCTACAATTGGCTGGGATTGTTTCAACTGATTTTCCCAACTGGTATCATTGTACATCAGTTCATTGCTGCTTTGTTTACACAGATGAGTTTTACGTTGTAAGTCAAGCATTGTTACATCAGAAAATAGATCATTATGTAATAGTTGGTTAGCGAGACGATCAAGCTCCTCAACGACACGTAGAAAAAACAAACGTACTAAGTGTATATGAAAATCTGATCCTGGAACCACTGAGATATCTCGAAATAAAATGCTCTGTCGAAATAGACGTACAAATTCTTTGCCAAGTCGGCTAACTCTTTCTAGCATACGTGAATGCTCCTCACTATCCATACATAATCCATTTGAAGCTTGTTTATTTGTTGATAAACGTTCACCATCCCAAAGCATAAGATCGCTTGGCTCTAATTTTAATCTATGCTTTCGATGAACTTTGTAAACTGTACGTTCAACTGTCTGTAGGTCTAAATCTAAACTTTGAAGTAAGTGGGATAATTGCCTAAGCTGTTCAAATGCTGTACGATTGGCTTCACGTAAAAATGCCCATGTTTGAAGTAGTAAACCCTCCTAGAAAGAAGAAAAGAAGCTTTGAGATTATATCATAATAGATATTTCATAAATAAATGACATAAAACAATTATATGCTGAAAGATTTATTCATACGTATCTTATAAATTTTGAGGACCTTTAGGAGTGCGGGGAGAGGGGGCAGAAGGAGGACATACGTTTAACTGACGAAAACCATCAAGTTGGAAGAAGAAGAAGAAGAAACAGTGAAGACAGGAGTTCAGGTAAGCACAGAGAAGATAAAGGTGGTGAGGATACCTAACCAACGACAGCAACAAGCACCAACAACCATCAACGAGAGAAATCGGAAGAAAGTTACCTCTTTCATTTGAGTGATTTGCAAAGCATCGTTTTAACTGTGGAAAACTCGGACAGAGCATGAAAAAAACAAGCCAGACATTTATTACTCTGAAATCTCTTTGGAAGTCTACTGAATTCAGCATTAAGAAGAAGATTCTGATTTCCAACACTATTGCCATTTCAATCGGTGCTTCTATATAGTTCAAAGACTTCTTGCAGGCTTCACGAAATGCATTTTCGATAGGTGACTGCAGACTGTCAACAACAGTTACCATCGCCTAATACTAAAGATGGTGCGTTCGCAAGGGACAAGCTTTAAGGAACGAATGTTGGTAAAAAAACAACTAAGAACCTATCACCTTACAAATATGTAAAAGGAAATTGAAACAGATTGGATTTACGGTATGGAGACCGTATAAGTGGGAGTGTACATGAGGATGACAGAGAGGAGATCGTATGAAATGGAGATGAAGTTTTATCATCAGTTGTTGAGCCTGCTAAAAAAAGAGAAGTGCCGTTGAAGTACAGTGCTCCATTCAGAACTCAGTGGAATAATCATAGGGTAAAAAACTCTTTACTCTGAGTAATGGTGAGAGATAAATTAAAATTCCAAGCTGCTCCACCAGGCTGAACCATCATTGTCCTTACTGCACAGTAATTTTTGGTTTAAAGTGTTGAAAAAACGCATTTACTAGGAATAGAAAGGTTGTGTGTTACGAGTCTGTATACAGTGACTGCTTGAAAACTAAGCGTGTGTTTTATGTGCATTAGGAAGTAAATACGAATTTATTAACCGAGATTGGAGACAAGACAGTGAGACACCCCACAAAAATTTAGTGCAGTATATTTCGGAAGGGTGGGGCAGGGACAAATAATTGATCTCTAAGCAGCTGTGTCGTAGAAAAAACACAGGTGATGAAGATTCCCGGCCAACAGCAACAGACAACAATCAGCATAAATGTGAGAAATCTGAAGGAAGGAACCTCCTTTACCTACCTACCTACCTGCCTAAAAAGCATCGTTTCAACTATAGATGGACGGAACTGACGAGGATATCAAAGCAGCGAGGATTGGGAAAGCAAGACAAGCTTTCATTACTCTCAAGTCTGTGTGGAGATAGCTCAACAGCACTCAGCATGAAAAACGAGATCCGGATTTTCAACTCCAATGTGAAGTCAGTGCTACTTACTACACGGATCAGAAACTTGACGCATCATGAAGAGGACCTCAAACAAACTACAAACCTTCATCAACAGCCGTCTTTGCTCAATACTCAAGATTAGATAGCCTGTCAGGAAGGGCAGCAACAAGGAGGGATCTTTGGGAGCAAACCAACCAGGAATCAATCGCACAACAAATATGCTGGAAGAAATCGAGGTGGATTGACCATACTCTGAGAAAACAAACCATCAAGTGAGTGACGTCACATGCCAGGCCACTGCTCAAGTGGAAGGCGAACGGGAAGCGGCGAGTTGGTCGTCGGTGTAAGAGTGACTTGGAGAAGGTCATGTTAAGATGAGATTAAAGCATGTGGGCATGAGCCAGGTGAAAACATTGGCAGAGAACCGAAGGCAATGGAGACGTGAGGTTGAAGCTGTGTAAAAATGCTACGCAGTCATCATTATTATTATTTTTATCTCCAAATACGTTAAAGTAGACAACTGTGGATTAAGTACATGGACGCGCAACTGGTTGGTTGTCTTCATTCATTTATTCAGAAGACCACACCTTTTACTGACTATGTTTCTGAAGATTATTTCTGAAGTCAAACTTCTACAGTAATTAGGTTCTCTGTTAACCTGGTGTGGTTTGCTAGTCAGTTCTAAGCTTAGAAAAGATTGAGGTTAAGCATGAGAATAACAACCTCACAGTTTTTCTCTAAATGATTAAATTGAATAAAGCAAGAACAAAGTGGGGTTTGTGCAGAATAAGGTGATACCATCATTGCGTATTTCTTTGGCTTCTCATGAGTGAAATTCAGCCTGAAGAAATGAATTAATTTTATGTACAGAATAATTTGTAAAATACTCGCCGAAGACATTGGCTAGCGGTAGCGCTATGTCGTGAATTGGCAGAAGTTCGAATTCAAGGACCATTGGATCGGGTCTCAGTGGCTTAATAGTATACGAGCTCTCCTTGTAGCCGGAAGGTCCTGGGTTCGAATCTCGGTGAGTGCGTGCTGATGAAGAGTCCCAAACTGGGATGAAACGGCTGTCCAGTACTCCCAGCTGGTTTTCCAATGATTCTCCAACTAATGTCATTTTATGATGAAATCCTGAAACCAATCAAATCCCTACAAACAAACACTTAAATACCAATGAGATGCTCACTGACGACTGGCCCTATTCAGGTAGGTAGTTACCTGGGTTCCAGTGGGAAGTCGTGACCAGTAGGGTGCAGCTGGTCGGGTGTGAGGACAAATACTCGCCGAAGACATTGGCTAGCGATCGCGGTATATCGTAAATTGGCAGAAGTTAGAATTCAAGGACCAGTGGATCGGGTCTCAGTGGCTTAATGGTATACGAGCTTGCTTTGTAACCGGAAGGTCCTGGGTTCGAATCTCGGTGGGTGCGTGCTGATGAAGAGTCCCAAACTAGGACGAAACAGCTGTCCAGTACTCTCAGCTGGTTTTCCAATGGTTCTCTAACTAATGTCAGCTCATGAGGAAATCCGGAAACCAATCAAATCTCTACAAACCAACACTTGAATTTGTAAAATGCTTGTAAATGTTACATAATGCCAGTTGACAGGAGGCTATAAACTTGATAAACAGTGCTCAGAAAATTGCACCTATAAAGGTTTCATTCAATGGTAAAGAAGTTAAGCAACAAAAAGAAGAGGTGAATAAAATGATGAGTAAGGTTAAGGTGAATTCAACTCAAATCATGGAAACAAGAGACAAAAAAAGTTACATTATATCAAAAGGGTGGGGGGGGGTAGAGGTTAAGATCACGGATTATGTAAACTAATGAAATGAAGAGATTAAAACCGTTCAGTTACCACAGCAGGGAAAGACTAAATGAATTAGAAATTATTACAACACCAAGAATTCTTTAGAACGGCTGTAAAAAAATTTCTTTTTCATTGAACTTTTTATAAACACTGACCAGATTATTTAAAGCTACGTGAAACTAGTTATTTTTCCTTCACGTTCCCAGTAGAAGGAATATAGGGCTTCAAGCTAAAGGCTTGAAGTTTCTTTATCAGTGGTGATTATTTTTACAGGATGGGGTTGCTAGCCTCATGCCAAACCTTCCTTCTTTGCCAGTTCTATTACTGGTTTAGCGAGATAAAGGAGTGCGTCGGCCGGGGATCGAACGATGGACTATATGCATGGCCGGCGAGCATTCGAACCGTTGTGCCACCGACGCACACGTGAAACTATTACAGTTAAATATATTTACTAGTGTTATTAGTTATCCTTAAAATACTTATGTAACAATTTTCTTAAATGAAATATTAGTAGTTCAGCATCCTCAAAAAATGCATTCCTTGTATAATTTTTCATATGGCCCTGAAAATACTGAATGTCACATCAGTGCTTCCTGCTGTGAATACTCATTGTGAGTGAGGTCTTTTATTCATCGGGTACTTAGATTATGCATATACTTTCAGTATTCTCAGCGATTACCTTGCATCTTCAGTCTCTGACATTAACAATAGTCGCAAAAATAAACTGTGCGAATGTAGGTTATTCATAAAAAGTGTGAAAAATTAATGGTCTACAAGCTTGTTGTGTGACTGGAAGGTCGTGGGTTTGAACCACAGTGGTGGAAGCGTACTGATGAAGAGTCCCGAATCAGTGGAACGAAACATCTGTCCAGTACTTCCAGATTTTCCAGTGCCTTGTTAACCAATGTCAACTTCATGATGAAATCCTGTAACCCACCAAGTCCCTATAAATCAAAACCTAAATACTTTAAGACGCACTGGATGCAGAACTCCGACCAGAAAAAGCTGGATTCAGGAAAGGCAAATCATGTTACGACCAAATCGCAACTCTACGCATCATCATCACACAACAAAGCATGGAATGGCAATCAAACCTCTACCTCAACTTCATAGGCTTTGAGAAGGCCTTCGACAGCGTTGATCGTGAAGTAATTTGGAAACTACTCGAGTACTATGGCGTACAGTGCCCCAAATATCCATCAACCTTATTCAACAGCTGTACGACAACGGCACCTGCCAAGTGATCCACAACGGAGGACTCAGCGAGGCGTTTGGAGTAAACACAGGAGTCAGAGAAGGGTGCCTGCCTATTATCACCAATGATATTCCTAATTGTGGTGGACTGAGTGGATTATGCGTCAGACAGTGAGTGGGAAACGAGAAGATAGGGATATCATGGACCGACGTGAATGACCTAGAAGACCTGCATTTCACACGTGGATGATGTATGTTTGATGTCACACACAACCGAAGACTTACAAGCGAAAACTGACAAACTGGTCGAAGAAGCAGCCGGTGAACATAGGACTCCAGGCGACCATAGACAAGATGGAGGTTATGAAAATAACCAACCAACCAACAACAACAACAACAGCAACATCCAATGCCAATCAACATCAACCAGAGGGATTTGAAAGAGATTAGTTACTTCATTCAGTCACTTATCTAGCATTGAGCATTGTCTCAAATACAGGAAGTCGCAACGGACTAGAATGTCAAATCGAGTGAGAATCTGGAAGGCGAGCGTG